CCACAGGGCTCCGTCACGAGTTCAATTGATTCTCCTGCCTTAGCCTCCCGAGTAGCTGGGATTACAGGCGCCAGCCATCCTGCCTCACTGATTTTTTATTTTTATAAGAGATAGAGTTTTGCCACGTTAGCCAGGTTGGTCTCAAGCTCCTGACCTCAGCAGGTCCACCCGCCTTGGTATACCAAAGTGCTTGAGTCATAGCTGTGAGCCACCGTGGCTTGCCTGTAATACTGCCTTTTAACATCTATAAGACGACCAAAGGAAATGAGAAATTTACTATCAGAAGTCTTACCTCGATTGTTGTTTCTCAGACGATTTTTAAGTATCTTATTTTTATGTTCTGAAATTTGTTGTTGAATGCTACAAGCATAATAAAGATAATACATAAAATTACTATTTTAATCATAATATAAAAATATTTAGCAAATATATGAAATTTTAAAGGTTTTCAGACAATATCAGAGCTAATATCAGAACTCTAATGTACCATACACCTTAAAATTTTAAGCTCTATACATTTATTAAGCTTCTAATTAAAGAAGAAAAACATTAAGTACTCATAAAGCGAGAGAAACATAGTTCAGTAAATTAATTCTAGTCAGTTTAACATCCTGGAAAGTGTCCTGCACTCAGAATAAGTCTTCGCTCTATAACCAGTAGGTATTTTGTTTTTGGACCAGTTGCTTTTAGGCTCCATGGCTTCTTCTAAAAAATAAGGATTTACTTCCTTTCTTCACTAAGCTGTAATTAGGATATAATGGGATAACATGTTTAAACGTTCAGAGAAATAGTAAAGCAATGGAACTATTTACTCTTGAAGTGCATTGCTGAAATAATTTTGAAATCTCAACACCTGATGGGTTCGTTTTTATAGGTTCTAATATTTCAGTGTCATGGTTTTCGGAAAATTTTATTAAGTGTTAATTTTGGTTATTCGTTCTATTCATTGTGGATTGTAGTTCAGAGCAGTTTAGCTAATCCATAACTTGTAACTAAATTTATATATATTATTATCTCATTAAAATAGATTACCTAATTGTCCCCTATCACTGAGATCATCAACCACACCAAGGGCAGACTAATAGATGTCAAAAGCTGTCTTGGACAAGTACCATTTCTCCTCTGTCTACTCAAACCCTTAGCCAGCAGATCTGTGTTAGAGGGCTGGATCTTCATGGTCCTCTCCAACTGACATATAAGACAAAACCCTGCTTGTATTGTTTTTCAGTTCCATGAGAGAGATGCAAGTTGATGTTTCCTCATTTCCAAATCATGTACTAACAACATATTTGCACGTAACATCCCATATGTTACTCAGTTCTGTTCTCATTTCACACATCACCTTACATGAATACTATTTTTTTTTAATTGAGATGAAGTCTCACTCTGTAGGCCAGGCTGGAGTGTAGTGGCACAATCTCAGCTCACTGCAACCTCTGCCTCCAGGGTTCAAGCAATTCTCCTGCCTCAGCCTCCCCGAGTAGCTGAGACTACTGGAATGTGCCAACACACTTGGCACGTTTTTTGTATTTTTAGTAGAGATGGGGCTTCACCGTGTTATCTAGGATGGACTCAATATCCTGACCTTATGATCGGCCCGCCTCAGCCTTTCAAAGTGCTGGAATTACAGGCATGAGCCACTGTATCCGGCCCAACATGAACACTTCGATGATGATAATAGTAACAATTTCAATTTTGGTTGTCTCCCGTTTTGATTTCACTCACACTGTTTCCCTGGAGCTAGTTAACAAATAGTCAAATGACATTCTGGGGACTGTGCAAAATACGGAACGCTTTAAGAATTTGTGTGCCATGTTTAGGCAGCATGCATGCTTATCTGTTCTGTATTGATTCAATATCAAAATATGTACTGCTGAAACAGGTATAAAGCCCTGTTTTATACATGGATACTCATGAGTCATGTATAAAGCTTAGCTCTGTTAAATCCAACTTACCTACTTCAGATAGAGAGAATCGTATTGAATGACTTCCTGTGAGGTAGAATTTTTAAGTATTTGAAAACTTGAGGTAGAGATGCAAGTATCCTGACAGATTTTCATTATTATGGAAACAGACCCCTGGGCCAACTGCAAGTTGGTGCCCACTACTCTACTGCAGGATAATGTGGAACCTTCTGCTATCTAACAAAAGCTGCTACACAGGACATCAAAAAGCCTCAAGGTACAGGTGTGATCACAAAAGGGAATGGAAACACTGATCTCTTCCTGCAACATTATTTGAACGTTCCTGACTGTTGAGTACAATTCCAACTAATATTTGCTAGAGAAAAGACAAACATAAGTCTCAAAGGATAACTTACCATGAAGGTCTAGGCTAAGCCTAGCTAAGACGTGGGCTACAAACAAGGTTTTTCGTTTTGACAGACGGTCAAGTTACTCACTATGTGTTTGGGTAAAGCAAGGAGGCCTCACTGCCAGAGCAGAATGCTGGGAACATTGACTGAGTATATGTACATGAATTAAAAAACACTGTAGCTGTGAACTCTGTGTATGAGTCACCGTGAAGACTGAGGGATCTGAATCAGTAAAGGCATCCTGTGGGCAAAGGTCAACCATTACCAGATTGCAGGACCAGTTACAATGGCAGCAATACAGCAAGTGAATCAGTTTGGGAGGCTGAGGCAGGAGAATCACTTGAGCTTAGGAACATGGGCAACATAGTTAGACCTTGTCAAAAAAAAAAAAAACAGAGAAAGAAAGAAAAATAGTAAAAAGATGTGACACTACTTATATTTCACGTATAGGGGTTATACTTGGAATAAAATGAACAACATTCAGATCTCTAGGGATAAAAGTTTTTAAAAGTCCTGAAAGAATCTTGCACTATTCCTACTTTTAACTAGTTTAGCTTTCTGTTTGATTTCTGGCTAAAAAGTGGACTAACTAGTTGCCATTCCTAACTACCTCAATAAAACTGAAATGTCACCCAATGTATAAATGCAATATTTCTAATTATTTTAAAACTTAATTTAGTATTATCTGGTCTTTTAATATAAGCACTTACCTTATCATATCACAACAAATAGCATAATCTTCTGCATTTTGTTTAAATATATCTTGAGAAAAGATGTTAATATTTTGTTCAAGGAGAAATCTGACTATGCTTGGAAAGTTATGATGGACGGCAAGCATGAGGGCTGTTCTAAAATGATAAAGAAATGACTCCACTTAAGAACTTTAATAAAGATAGTTAACTGGCAAATTTCATACACCTTGCCAATTAGTATCTTGCCTGTCAGTGCAGACATAATAACCATTTACATGTTCTAACTTATGCCTCTAAGCATCTTGGGTGCTCAAGTGTTCATCTTTGTAAATTACCACCAAGGCTAAAAGGCAGGGACAATAAGGAGGTCTCTTGTCCCACTGGGGTATGACATAATACCAGTTGCTAACTTATAGTTTTTTGATGGCCAAAAAACTATGCTGAGGTCACTTACATAAAGTAAGCAAAGATTTATATGAAGATTTCTTCATTGCTTTTCTAGTCTGGTATATTGTAATTCAAAGTCAGCTAGAGGTCAGATAACTAAGAGCTAACTGCAGGCTGAAAACAACAATAATGATAGTAATAAGAATAATGGTAATAGTAGTAGTTGTAAACTGAAAGTTAAAAAATTCAAAGGAGGAGGCCTGGGTGCGGTGGCGCATGCCTGTAATCCCAGCGGTATGGGAGGCTGAGATGGGCAGATCACCTGAGATCAGGAGTTCGAGACCATCCTGACCAACATGGAGAAACTCCGTCTCTACTAACAATACAAAACCAGCCAGGTGTGGTGGCACATGCCTGTAATCCCAGCTACTCAGGAGGCTGAGGCAGGAGAATTGCTTGAACCCAGGAGGCAGAGGTTGCAGTGAGCTGAGATCACACCACTGCACTCCAGCCTGGGCAACAAGAGTGAGATTCCATCTCAAAAAAAAAAAAAAAATTCAAAGAAGGAAGGTATAGGATATCATAATAATGGTAATTGTAGTAGTTTTAAACTGAAAGTGAAAGTCTGCACTTTATAAAATTAATAAAACATAAAACCCCTTTAGCTAATAGAAAATTATAGGACCAAAAACATCAGATTACAAATAACAGCCTATAAGAGAAAATGAATCCTACTATATAGTGTTTTTATGTTGTACAGTCCAAATAATTGCTTTTCTATTTAACTATTTGTGTTATTTTTCACTATATGCCAATAACTATAAGTTAATCTTCTTATTAGTATTTCTGACTCGAGTGACTGTTACCATTCTAGAATAGTCAGGTTATTTAAAAAACAACAACAACAACAACAACAACAAAACTACTGTACCTTCTGAAATTATCAACTGCATGTACATTTGCCCCATTTTTTACCAAAAATTCCACCATTTGCTGTTTCTTGCAAATTACAGCTAGCAAAAGAGGTGTGTTTCCCTCCTGTGAGAAAGCAAAAACAATTTATAATTCATAAAATTACATAGTTCTCAACTGAACTAAAAATCTTCTATAAGATGCTATGAACTTAAACATACAATATACAAAGAAAGTATATGCAAAGCCGTCACATCCTTCTCCCTCCTCTGTGCTTTTCCACACACTGCCTTGCAAACACCCCTCTTCTGTCTCCCACATTAACTTCAGTCATCTCCAAAACTCACCTTACCAGGCCCCAAAATCATTGTTTCTATCACAGCATTTAACACAGTATATATTGTAATTATTTCATTGCTTCCCACTGAAAACCAAGAGCTTCTTGAGAGCAAGGGTTGTATCTTTCTTTTCTGTCTCTATAACCCTGAAACCGAAGACATAGTAACAAATGTTTCAAATTTAAAAAATAAATGATCTAAATCGTTGTCTCTAGAGCAATGTTTCTTAAACTGTGTTCCAAAGAATATTTGTTTTACTAGAAGTACTATACCCCAACAGAAGGATTCCATGATCATGTGCATTTGAGAAGTGTTACAAAACTGTATTGTGTGTCTAACAATGAAGAAATCTCCTGAACTTTGCCTGATCCCAGTTTGACCATACTTTTTGTGCCAAACGATCACATTTTAGAAACTAGAGTTTCAGGGATGCAGTTGCCAAAGATTCCCAATACAGATGGAGGTTTCCTCTGGGTGTCCCAAACTTGCTTGATTCACTTCTATTAATGGTGACAGGATCCCAGATGCCAATGTTAGGCACTCCTCATTCAAGTGGGTGACTAAGGAAATGAGCTCTGAAATAAGAGAAATTGGTTTCAAGTGCACTTATTTTTCTTTTTAATAAATATAGTTCATGGGTTTTCTCTTAACAAAAGAGGATACATTTTTATCTTAACTGACAGAAAGCTCAATATGGTCTGTGTAATAGAGGCAGGTTTAAACATTTTGAAAATAAGGCTGGGTGCAGTGGCTCATGCCTGTAATGCCAGCACTTTGGGAGGCCAAGGCAGGTGGATCAACTGAGGTTGGGAGTTCAAGACCAGCCTGACCAACATAGTGAAACCCCGTCTCTACTAAAAATACAAACATTAGACAGACATGGTGCTACATGCCTGTAGTCCCAGCTACTTGAGAGGCTGAGGCAGGAGAATCACTTAAACCTGGGAGGTGGAGGCTGCAGTGAGCTGAGATTTCACTATTGCACCCCATCCTGGGCAATAAGAACAAAACTGTGTCTCAAAAAAAAATTAATTAAAAATAAATATCAAAAAAGCAAAGCTCAGTACAAAATTTTATTCTCAATTATAATGATAATCCTAGGATTCTAATGCAATTTTACTTTGTAAATCCATTTGTATTGGTTTCCATTTAAATTGCCATTTAACATTTTATTTTTTAGTTTAGGCAAAATATAAATCAGAAATAGAAATACAATAGCTTACCAATAAAAGTTCTAATATCAATGCATATGGCTTATTTTTAGCATAATAAAAGCCAGTAAGCAACTTGCATTTTTAAGAGACATTGCTGAGGAGAAAGATATATTCATAAACTATCCAACTCTTACCAGGAATAACCTAAAAAGATTTCTAGGCATTCTTGTGAGCAGATGACTATTTGTGATATATATATATATATATATATGAAGGGTTATAAAACTTCTGAATTCTAAAATTCAACCCCATAATTGAGAAATCTATATAAACTATAGATTATATATTATAAACGAATATACACTGTCTTGCAAACCTTGAAATCTTTAAGAAAATAGGCCGGGCGCGGTGGCTCAAGCCTGTAATCCCAGCACTTTGAGAGGCCGAGGCGGGTGGATCACGAGGTCAAGAGATCGAGACCATCCTGGTCAACAAGGTGAAACCCTGTCTCTACTTAAAAAAAAAAAAAAAAAAAAAAAAAAAAACAAAAAATTAGCTGGGCATGGTGCGTGCCTGTAATCCCAGCTGCTCAGGAGGCTGAGGCAGGAGAATTGCCTGAACCCAGGAGGCGGAGGTTGCAGTGAGCCGAGATCGCGCCATTGCACTCCAGCCTGGGTAACAAGAGCGAAACTTTGTCTCAAAAAAAAAAAAAAAAGGAAATCTTAAAGAAAATACACCATAAAACAGGAGCTGTAAACTCAAATACTTCTAAGGATGAAGGAGGTTACATAAGTAAGTGAAGGACTTAGGTGGGCATAGTAGCAAACAGGAGAATATGTGCCTCCTCTACAGGGACAATCTCTGGACAGCAGACCAAACAGTGACATGGCTTATGGGACTTCAGATTTGATTCTTAAGACAAGCCTGAAGTCCAGATTTCTGAATGAGTCTCCTAAACTTTATATGTTTACTCAATTTAAGGAATCAAAGAAACAAATCTATGTGCCATGTTTATACTATAGCCCTTGTGTTTTCATATTTGATATGAATGTGTTACTAAATGATTGTGTATAAACCAAGTATTTGCAAGTGCAGCTTTTTCTTTCTCTAGCATTATACATTTTACCAAAAAAATCAGGCCCTGATATGTATGTATGTATATGTCTAAATAATAAAAATAAAAATAAATAATAAAAATAATCCTAGCACTTTGGGAGGCTGAGGTGGGTGGATCACCTGAGGTCAGGAGTTCAAGACCAGCCTGGTCATCATGGTGAAACCCCCATCTTAAAAAAAAAAAAAAGACTCATAATACGCACCTCAAGGATTTTCCCAACATTTATTTATTCACATTCTGTTCGTATATCATATTCCCAGATTGTTAACCAAACAGATAATTTGTTCATGAGACTGCTGAAACTAACTTATTAAAAGAATTCCTGTTGTATTCTCAGTGACTTCATGAATTTCAGTGTTTAAAACGGACATTCTGATTATGCCAAAGCTCTGTACACTTAACAGATATACTGAGATAGTCCACATTAAAACTTCAACTGATAAAAAGGGTTAGGATTTGCTACAAATCTAATTGAGAAAACCTCACTTGTAATGAAGATTTTTTGACGCATAACCACCTGAACCGTGACAAAGAAACATGAAATTGTGAAAGGATCAGCCTCTACTTATTGAAAGATCACCCACAAGCAAATTCCTAAAGATTCTCTGAATGGTAGTAAATGATTCATGGTGAGAACAAAACGGTGATAAGCTGACAGAGACATTACCAATAATATTTTCTTTCAATTCCCAGTCACAGATGTAGAGAAAGATAAGTCAGGCTGATTATTATTGGAAAGGGAAACTTTGAAGGAAGTAATCCCTATCAAATGCCAACTTTTAGAGATTTCTTACGGTTTTAAGATATGAATAATTTATACACTGCACTCATCTCTTCTGTGATACTTAATTAGGAGTGTATTCAAACCTAGACATATTTTTTTGCTGTTGTTGTTTTAGACAAGAGTCTCGCAATGTTGCGCAAGCTGGACCCAAAGTCCTAGCGTCAACCAATCAATCCTCTCAGCTCAGACTCCTAAGTAGCTGGGACTGGAAACATGTAACTGTGAATGACTTCAAAAAATATTTTTAACCATATATGTTCAGGCCTTATTAGAGCTATTACATCAAAATCTTCAAGAGAAAGCTTATACTTGTAGAGTTTTTACAAAATTTCCATAGGTCCCTGTAGTGCACAATTCTAGCTGAGAATTAGTAGTGCAGCTGACAGTCACTTCGGTTTCATTGCTCACCCAAACAGCCAAAACCCTGTATCAGTTTGGGATGTGGCCAAAAAGAGAAAAGAAATTTTCCTGGGTATGGGTAGAACAGGGACACGTAAACTCAAAATCCCACTTGATTTTGCTATTTATAAGCTCCTTATCTCCCACCTTCCCACCAAGACATTCCAAATTTGAAAGGAGACCAATTCTTTTCCAAGTGGCTGTTTCTGCCAGGATGGGTAATAAGTCAATTACTAATTTGTTCCACCCTTTGCTAAAGTTTTTCTCAGTTTGTCACCACCTATTCACTGTCATTCTGGTTTCCTCTGAGTCCTCTAAAAATTGATCTTTAGGCAAGTTTCAGTCACAGTCTTTACCAAACCAAAACTGATTACCCAAAAGCTGAACAGAGCTTTGTCTCAATACATAAACTGGAAAAACAACAAACTAAAAAACAAAACCTCTGCTTTATATTTTCCTCTCCTTACCTAATTTCCAAGTGACCTGTATGTTTCTGATTGCTCTCCTTTCCCTTCCCATTTTTACCTCCTTTTTTTTTTTTTTTTTTTTTTTTTTTTTTTCGAGACGGAGTTTCGCCCTTTAGTTTTGTTTTGAGTTTTAAAATAAAGCCAGTTTCCAGGGTAAATATTTTTTCCTGTGTTTTCTTACTCTAATTAGAAAAATAAAACAATCCTGGAGCAGGAAACAAATATTTGTAAAGGAAAAGTTTTACCTTTGACAAATTCACAAATATTTCCCATAAGTGCACTAAAAAAGCTTCTTTAGAAGTATCAATATTTAAAGTAAAATCTTAGACGATTATTTCAAAATATTTTCTTTTTAAATTGTACTTTAGGTTCTGGGGTACATGTGCAGATCATGCAGGATTGTTGCATAGGTACACACATGGCAATGTGGTTTGCTGCCTCCATCCCCCCGTCACCTGCATCTGGCATTTCTCCCCATGTTATCCCTCCCTGACATCCCCACCCCCTTGCTGTCCCTCCCTTGACTCCCTCAACAGACCCCAGTGTGTGATGCCCCTCTCCCTGTGTCCATGTGTTCTCATTGTTCATCAGCCGCCTATGAATGAGAACATGCGGTGTTTTCTGTTCTTGTGTCAGATTGCTGAGAATTATTGTTTCCAGATTCATTCATGTCCCTACAAGGACATGAACTCATCATTTTTTATGGGTGCATAGTATTCCATGGTGTATATGTGCCACATTTTCCTTATCCAGTCTATCATTGATGGGCATTTGGGTTGGTTCCAGGTCTTTGCTATTGTAAACAGTGCCGTAACGAACATACATGTGCATGTGTCTTTATAATAGAATGATTTGTAATCCTTTGGGTATAGACTCAGTAATAGGATTGCCAGGTCAAATGGAATTTCTATTTCTAGGTCCTTGAAGAAGTGCCACACCATCTTCCACCATGGTTGAATTAGTTTACACTCCCACCAACAGTGTAAAAGTGTTCCTATTTCTCCACATCCTCTCCAGCATCTGTTGTCTCCAGATTTTTTAATGATTCTAACTGGCGTGAGGTGGTATCTCAATGTGGTTTTGATTTCTCTAATAATCAGTGATGATGAGCATTATTTCATATGTTTCTTGGCCTCATATATGTCTTCTTTTATTTCAAAATATTTTCATTCAGGGAGTGCTTCAGCTTCTAAACATGAAAAATTAATCCTTACCTATATCAATGTTAAAACAAATATTTCGAAAAGAAACTTGATTGAGCTATACCTTGTTTATTGCTTCAATATTTGCACGGTGGGAAAGAAGTTTTTCTGCCAGTGAAGTCCCGTTATTATATATAGCATAATGAAGGGCAGTGTTGCCGTAGACATCTTGAATGCTTGGATTGGCACCGTGTTTCAGCAGAGAAATGGAACAATTCTCCTCCTGGCCGTGTACAGCCTATCAGTGTTAAATAAAAAACAAGACTGTAAATTCTAAGAATTCAAAATACATATTCCACAGGTTTTACCAACTAGTTATATTTAAATGTGATAAATTCATTTTATTTCTATGTATTTAAATCAAATCCATTTTATGCTGAAAGAGTTGTCTACTACATACCTTCATTAAAGGTGTCCTGTTAAGTCTGTCACCGATGTCAATCTGGCATTGTCTGCTCACTAACAGACTGACAACTTCCACATGGCCATAAGCACAGGCCAAATGCAGAGCAGTCCTGTGAGAGTAAGAGGAGTTTTCAGGAAATTGCAATGCCATATCCCAAGACCTACAATGGTTCATGTCATTGTAAACATTGAATAGCATGTTATTCCTCTGCCTTCAAAACAAATAATTTTTTTTGGAAGAAAGTACAATATTTATTAGCTCTTACTGCTCACTACCTTAATGAAGACAGCAGCCTATTTGGATAGAATGAGCTTGGTCTTTGGATTCCGTTCAACTAGGGCTTGAGTTCTACTTTGAGCTCTGTCACTTACCAGCTATTACTTAGGCTTTCCGTGCCTCAGTTTCCTCATTAATAAAATAAAGATGACAATAGCAGCTAGCTCACAGGACACCATTGCGATGCTTAAATGTGAACCTATGTAAACTATTTAGAACTGTTTTTAGAACAAGCAACAACTGAGTAATTGTTAGATTTGAGTTTTTTGAGAAAGGGTCCCACTCTGTTGCCCAGGCTGCAGTGCAATGGTGTATTTATACCTCGCTGCAGCCTGGAACTCTCAGGCTCAAGCAATCCTCCTGCCCTAGCATCCTGAGTAGCTGGGACCACAGGAGGGCACCAGCATGCTCCACTAATTTTTAAATGTTTTTTGGTAGAGTAGGAATCTCACTTTGTTTCCCAGGGTGGTCTCAAACTCCTGGCATCAAGGGAACCTCCCACCTCAGCCTTCCAAAGTTCTGGAATGACAGCTGTGAGCCACTGCACTCAGCCAGATGTTATAATTATTACTATTACTAGTACTTAAAAGTTTTTTTTTCATTAAGTAAAATGATACAATTATTCCTATTTTGCAAAATGATTTAAAGATTAGGTCACATCTTAACATACCTGATATTGGAATGGCATTTGTAATTCATAACTTTTTATACCTGTAATTGGTAGCATTTAAAAAGTATCTTATTAATATAGAAAATAATATGGTATCACAATATCTGTGAGGCCTTACATTAAGTCAAATACATTATACACTGCAGGCCTAGAGCTATTTTAGGTATCTAACTGGTACTTAAATTTTAGTTCTTAAAGGAACCATGGGAAAAGAGCACTGAAATAACATGCTTTTTAAACAAATTATTTCTCACTTTGAGTTTTGAAAAATGTGAAGCCAAAAGAAACTCATGATTGAAATAAACAGGTATGGATCATTTTAGTCAACACTTAGATTTACAAAATACAGGCAAGTCAGACTTTCTAATGACTAATATTAGTATTTAAGACTGATAGATTTTCAAAACTGTAAGGAGTTAAAGGTTATCTTTCACTATTTTTTACCTTCAGAAATGCTTTTGTTTGAAAGCTGGAAGGAAAAGCTTCAATGCGATTAAGCCCTAATATTTCCATTTAACCTCTCTCATCTTGCTCTGGCAGAGCAGGTAAACATAAAGTTTTTAAGAACGGAAGGGTCCTGAGAGATAGTACAATCTGTCTGCTACGTAACAGGTATTCAGGTTATGTCTGATGAATAAATGGACTGAAAGAATTGATACAGTTGGGGAGTTCAATACTTTAAAATATAACTTCTATAATCCAATATTTTCGTGATAGTAATTTTATTTGTGATTCATTATTTTTATAAGACTACAACTAAAACAAAATGATTAATCTATCATTGTTTGCATATATGTAATGAATCTATACATAAGAAAAACATATGTACATAACAAAATGTATATGTAATAAGATCTGCAAGCACAGATCAAAAGATTCCCGTTTTACTTCTGAAGAAGCTAAAACTTCAAAAAAGATAACAACCCACACCGTAATGATGAAAAATGGACAATTAGAAATTATTTTTATCTCCACAGGATTTATATTTTTCTCGTCTCCAAATTATTTCATTAATAATAAATTTTGACTAGAATTGTTATAGTCACTGAAGAAATTACAGGTTAAAAAAGGAACAAAAACTTAAAATATAAGTGCTCAGAAGTTACACATTTTATCCTATTTTGTACAAAGTTTTGGCTAACAGAACACCATAGGATGTTAGTGTGTATGTGCAAGCAAACATTGTTTTTCCTCACTGGCTATAACAAAATACATCTTCACACAGCAAGGTATCGCTATACTTACTGCCATCTTCAGTGGTCACCTATTCATTCTATGGGTTCTTGTTAACATAAATGCTAAGAAAAACAAAATGCATGTATCTCTACTTTCTAAACGCATTTTAATATAATGGAATTGATGAGTAAAGGGCGTATGCATTTTTCAATTTGGTGTAATTACCACCAAATTGTCTCCTTGAAAAGTTATCAGCAACTTAAACTTTAAGCAGCAGTATAAGTACCACTGCTCTTTATTCTCACAAACACTGTGGATAGAAAACAGTCTCATTCCTCTTTTAACTTAAATTCTCTTACAAGAAACACTAAGGATTTTTTCCTATGTAAGTTAACTTGTGGATCTGCAAAAAAGCACTTTGCTCACTTTTAGAGTTCTTTTCTTGTGGATTTGATTTGAAACAATTCCATGTAAAATAAACGTGGATTTTTTTTTTTTTTTTTTCTTTTAAGACGGAGTTTCGCTCTTGTTACCCAGGCTGGAGTGCAATGGCGCGATCTCAGCTCACCGCAACCTCCGTCTCCTGGGTTCAGGCAATTCTCCTACCTCAGCCTCCTGAGTAGCTGGGATTACAGGCACACGCCACCATGCCCAGCTGATTTTTTGTATTTTTAGTAGAGACGGGGTTTCACCATGTTGACCAGGATGGTCTCGATCTCTTGAACTCGTGATCCACCCGCCTCAGCCTCCCAAAGTGCTGGGATTACAGGCTTGAGCCACCGCGCCCGGCTAAGATGTGGTTTTTATTTATCATTTGGTTTAAGGAAAACTGATAAACATAGAGCTCACATTTTAGGAAAGTGAGTCTTTCCATTCAAGGAACCCACCTCCCACTTCCGAGTTTCCCTCTAAGAAGTCCCAGGAAAGAACCCATCTATCTATCTACAACGATTCGGATGTAAAACGGACACCGGGTTTTTAAGCTGAGAACGTTTCCCCTACTGAAAATGACTCACGGTATTTTTGACAAGGGAATGAGTTCTCATTAGGCACTTTCCTGTCACGTATATGACAGCATGTCTTAAACATGCATATGCTCAAGTGCGTGAGTTAAACTCACTCAAATTTTGCACCAGGTTCTCCAGGCGGGGATTCCCAGCGATGGAAAGCAGCTGAGGCTCGCTTTGGCTCCGCTGCTTTGAGGCTGCCCGGCGCCCCCCAAGACCCGGTCCCAGGGGCTGCAGGGAAGCCGGGCCCGGGGATCCCCCTCTGACCCCGGGCTGAGCCCCAGCTACAAGCCCCCGCTACCTGTCCTTCCTGTCGCGGGCGTCCACATCCCGGCTCCTGCCCCTCAGGCAGCGCTCCACCGCCGCAGCATCGCCCCGGAAGGCCGCCCTGTGCATCTTCCGCAGCTCCCAGTCCCGGACGTGGTACCCGGGACCGGAGTACTCGTCGTCGGTGGAGCCCCGGAACGCCTGGCCCAGGCGTCCCCCGAAGCTGAAGAGCTTCCTCATGGTGGCGACTTCTCCTCAGAAGCCCACCACCGGCTCCTGAGCCGCCGGGCTCCTCGTGGCCTTTCCACCCTCACCCAGACCCAAGTCTGCGATCCACCCCAAACCAGGGATCCGCCCCAAACCGCAATCGACCCCCAAACCCGCGATCAGAATCCGCGCTCCAGCCCGGTCTACCGCAGTCTGCAGCAGCGAGACTCGCAAACTCCGACCTCAGACCGAGGGAGCCCAGTGAAGCCGTTGGGCGCGCGCCCGGACGCCGGAAGCCGCTCCCACGCCCGCGCGCGGCCGGCAGGGGGCGGTTGCAGCTCCGGCGCAGGCGCCGCTGGCTGGCGGGTTCTCCCGGGCTCGCCTGGAACGTCCAGGAATCGCCCCCGCGCAGCCCGCCAGGCCTGAGGTACCGCCTGGCGCTTGGGGCAGCGCTGGGCCCTGCCGGTGCAGGTGGAGCTGCGTAAGCGGCTGGCGGAGATACCGGTGCAGGCCACGCCGATGCCGTCCGACCTGGCGGAGCCGCGCGGCTCTTCTCGGTTCGTTCCCCTGCTCTACCGCGTGTACTCCTTCCGCAGCGTCTACCAGACCGGCTTCCTGAAGCCGCACCCGACCTACGTGCAGCTGCTGGTGACGGCCGCGGAGCCCACACTGACCTTCGGCATGGATGTGCCCATGCCGTGCCCGCCGCTGCCCTGGACCTCGCCGCACACCGGTGCCTTCCTGCTCAGCCCCACCAAGCTGACGCATGCGGTGGACCGCACCATGCGCCACCAGCTGCTGCTGGAAAACTGCCCGCCCAGGCACTGCACGGCGCGCCGGACATGCTCACCCAGCTGGGCAGGTGTGCCTGGCGTGTAAACGGGCCCGTGCTGGACCTGGTGCTGGAGCTCTTCCAGGACAGGGGCTGCCCCAAGCTCCGCGTACCGGCCCCGCCGTCCGAGGTGGACCCACCGCACGAGTCCCCCCTACCGCCCAGCACCGCGCTGGTGCAAAAGGCCAAGCTGCGCCGAGAGCTGGCGCGCTGCCTGAAGGAGGCCCGCGAGGTGCACAGCCTGCGGGCGGATGCGCTGTACCCCCTCTCGCTGGCGCAAAACCTGCGGGACTGCGTCTTCTGGCTGCCGCGCAACATGGACTTCCCCGGCCGCAAGTACCCTTCCC